TGGGGGCGGGGCGTGGCAGTCATGGCGGGGGTCCTCTCGTGCGGCCGTGCGGCGGCGGGGGTCAGCGCATCTGCGAGACGCTGCGCATCATCTCGTCGGAAGCCTGGATGACCTTGGAGTTCATCTCGTAGGCCCGCTGGGCAGTGATCAGGTTGGTGATCTCCTGCACGACGTTGACGTTGGAGGTCTCCAGCGCGCCCTGCAGGATGGTGCCGTAGCCGGGGGTGCCGGGCGCGGCCACGTTGGCGGCGCCGGACGCCCCGGTCTCCTTGAAGAGGTTGTCGCCGATCGCCTCCAGGCCGGCCTCGTTGGCGAAGGTCGCCAGTTCGAGCTGGCCGACGTTGGTCGGCGCCACCTGACCCTCGATGTCGACCCAGACCTCGCCGCTGGCGTTCACGGTCACGCCTTTGGCGTTGGTCGGGATGGTGATGCCGGGTTGGACCAGGTAGCCGTCGGGGGTCACCAGGTCGCCGTCGGGCGAGAGCTGGAAGGACCCGGCGCGCGAGTAGCCGGTCTCGCCGCTCGGCAGCTCGATCTGGAAGTAGCCCTTGCCGTTGACGGCCAGGTCGAAGGTGTTGTCGGTGACCGAGATGTTGCCCTGCTCGGTGATGCGGTAGACCGCCGCCGCCTTGACGCCGAGGCCGACCTGGACGCCCGAGGGGACGATGGTGCCGGCATCGGACGAGGCGGAGCCGACGCGCCGCAGGTCCTGGTAGAGCAGGTCGTGGAACTCCGTGCGGCCACGCTTGTAGCCGGTGGTGTTCATGTTGGCGATGTTGTTGGAGATCACCTCCACGTTCATCTGCTGGGCCAGCATGCCCGTGGCGCCGATGCTCAGGGATCTCATGGTCGCGTCTCCTGTATTGCGGCCGTGGGGGCGAGCCGGATCACGCCGAGCGGCCGGCCAGGCTCTGGATGGCCCGGCGCTGGCGCTCGTGCTCGGCCTCGACCATGCGGCCGGCCGACTGGTAGCTGTTGACCGTCTGGATCATCTTCGACATCTCCACGACGCCGTTGACGTTGGACTTCTCGACGAAGCCCTGAAGCACCTCGGCCTCCTCGGCCGGCAGCGGCGCCTCGCCCTCGGCGCGGTAGAGCCCCTGGGCGTCCTTCTTCAGGGCGTATTCGTTCTCGAACTGGACGAGGCGCAGCCGGCCGACGCGCACTTCGTCGCCGCCGTTGCGGTCGTGGTAGGAGACGGTGCCGTCGCGCGTGACGTCGATGCGCCCGGCGCTGGCCGGAATGACCATCGGCTGGCCGCCCTCGTTGAGCAACGGCAGGCCGGAGGAGGTGACCACCTGGCCCTCGGCGTCCAGCATGAAGGTGCCGGCGCGGGTGTAGCGCTCGCCGTCCGGGCTCTCGATCGCGAAGTAGCCGGCGCCGTTGAGCGCCAGGTCGAGGGGGTTGTCGGTCGCCACCTTCGGCCCTTCGCCCAGGTCGCGCACCGTGGCCAGGTCCTGCACGTAGGAGATCTTGCGCAGCCCCGCGGGGACGCGGTCCTTGGTGTCGGCCAGGTACTCGACGAACATCATCGACTCGCCGCGGTAGGCCGGGGTGTCCAGGTTGGCGATGTTGTTCGAGATGATGTCGAGCTCGCGGCGCAGCACCGCTTGCCGGGACAGGGCTACGTAGCCGGGGGTTTCCATCGCGTCTGGCTCTCTTCCGTCCGGTCTTCGACCTTGCTGGTCGCCACGCCCGCCGTCTTTTGCGCTGCGGCGGGTCGGGCGCTGACGACGATGCAGGCCCCGTGCCAACTGCCTAACTTGCGGAAAAGGTTGAATTCCGGGCCCACGCCAGGGCGGCAGGAGAGGCGCCGTGACAAGGCCGGGGCGGCAAGATTTTCCGCTTCGGGGGGACGTCTCTGCCGCCGGTCAACCGGCTGTTAACCAGCCGCGCCCTAGGGTGCTCGGCAACAGCGGGGGCGGTGCGCCAACCGCCGGGCTCTCAGGACGAAGGATGGGCCGAGGTCATGGCCGAACAGGCGATCGACGATCTGGGTGAGGACGTCGAGGTCGAAGCGACGCCGCGCAAGGGCGGCATGAGCGGCAAGAAGCTGGTCCTCTTCGTGGCGGTGCCGTTGTTGCTGCTGCTGATCGGCGGCGGCGCGGCGGCCTACTTCATGGGCGTGTTCGGCGGCAAGGAGGAGAAGGTCGCCGAGGAGAGCGTCGAAGAGGAGAAGGCGGCGAAGGCGACCGTCTTCCACGACCTGCCGGACCTGCTGGTCAACCTCAACACCGGTGGGCGCCGCACCAGCTTCCTCAAGCTCTCCGTCGCGCTGGAGCTGACGTCGGAGACCGACGTGGCGCGGGTGCAGGAGATGCAGCCGCGCATCATCGACTCCTTCCAGGTCTATCTGCGCGAGCTGCGCATCGAGGACCTCAGCGGGTCGGCCGGCCTGCAGCGGCTGCGCGAGGAACTGCTGCTGCGGGTCAACGCCGCGGCGCATCCGGTCGAGGTGCGCGACGTGCTCTTCAAGCAGATGCTGGTGCAGTAGCCGGCGGGACGGGCGTCATGGCGGACGAGGACGGGCAGGACATGAGCGACGAGGAAGTCGATCAGGAAGCCCTGATGGCCGAGTGGGAGGCCATGGCCGAGGAGGGCGGCGAGGAGGAGGACGATCCCATGGCCGAGGCCATGGGCGGCAGCTCCTCGCGCGTGCTCGACCAGAGCGAGATCGACTCGCTGCTGGGGGTCGACGACGCCGACGCCGACGAGGAAGACGGCTCCGGCATCAAGGCGATCCTCAACTCGGCGCTGGTCTCCTACGAGCGCCTGCCGATGCTCGAGGTGGTCTTCGACCGCCTTGTGCGCATGATGTCGACCTCGCTGCGCAACTTCACCTCGGACAACGTCGAGGTCAGCCTCGACAACATCACCTCCGCGCGCTTCGGCGACTACCTCAACTCGATCCCGCTGCCGGCCATGCTGGCCGTCTTCAAGGCCGAGGAGTGGGACAACTTCGGCCTGATGGTGGTCGACAGCGCGCTGATCTACTCGATCGTCGACGTGCTGCTCGGCGGCCGGCGCGGCACCGCGGCCATGCGCATCGAAGGCCGCCCCTACACCACCATCGAGCGCAGCCTGGTGGAGCGGATGATGCACGTGGTGCTCTCCGACCTCTCCGCCGCCTTCGATCCGCTCTCGCCGGTCACCTTCCGCTTCGAGCGGCTGGAGACCAACCCCCGCTTCGCCGCCATCGCCCGGCACGGCAACGCCACCATCGTCACCAAGCTGCGCATCGACATGGAAGATCGCGGCGGCATGATCGAGCTGGTGCTGCCCTACGCCACCATCGAGCCGGTGCGCGAGCTGCTGCTGCAGATGTTCATGGGCGAGAAGTTCGGCCGCGACTCCATCTGGGAGGGCCACCTCACCGCCGAGCTCTGGCAGACCGAGGTCAACCTGGAGGCCGTGCTGGACACCGTCGAGCTGAAGCTGGGCGACGTGCTGAACTGGCAGGTCGGCAGCCGTCTCGAGCTCAACTGCCTGCCGAGCTCCAAGGTCAACCTGCACTGTGGCGACGTGCCGATGTTCACCGGCTACATGGGCCGGCGCAACGGCCAGATCGCCGTGCGGATCGCCGACAAGCTGGTGCAGCAGTCCGAAGAGGAGGACGAGGCGTGAGCTTCGCGCTGATCTTCGACGGCGCCCTGGTGGCCCTGCTGACGGCGACCATCGCCTATGCGGTGATCCTGAATCGCAAGCTGACCGAGCTGCGCAACTCGCGCGGCGAGATGGAGCGGCTGATCAGCGAGTTCGCCGAGGCCACCCAGCAGGCCGAACAGGGCGTGGGCAGCCTGCGCGAGCGGGCCGACGAGGCCAGCGACGAGCTTAACCAGCGGGTCTCGGCCACCGAGGCGCGGCTGGACGAGGCCCGCAAGCTGGCCGACGACCTGGCCTTCATGATCGACAAGGGCGGGCGCCTGGCCGACCGGCTGGAGAAGAGCGTGAGCGCGGCGATCAAGACCGCCGATCCGGGCCAGCCGGCCCGCGCCCCGGCGGCCCCGGCCCCGGCCGCCCCGGCGGCGGGCGCCGGCGAGGACGAGTCGCCCGAGGCGAAGCTGCTGCGCACGCTTGACCGCGTGCGCTGAGCGGGCCGGGACAGGACAGGAGCTTCCAGGACGATGCGTGTGCGTCTGCTTCCCCTCGTGATCGCGCTGGCCGTGATCACGCTCGCTTTCCGGCTCGAGGCGCTGCGCGAGGGCGTGGTCGTGCTCGCCCAGGAGACCGCGCCGGCGGCGGCGCCGACCGATCCGCTGCCCGCCCCCTCGGAGGCCCTGACGGAGCAGTCGGCCGCCGCCGCGGCCGAAGCCGAGGCGCAGCCCGAGGCGGGCGCCGAGACGCCGACCCAGGAAGCCGCCGCGCCGCCGTCGCAGAGCGCGGAGAACCTGCTCAGCGAGCTGCCGAGCGACCCCTTCGCCCTGACCGACAGCGAGATCGAGCTGTTGCAGGCCTTGTCGGAGCGGCGCGCCGAGCTGGACCGCCGCGAGGCGGAGCTGGAGACGCGCGAGGCGCTGCTGCGCGCCGCCGAAAGCCGGATCGAGGAGAAGATCGCCGGCCTGGAGGAGCTGCAGGCCACCATCGAGGGGCTGCTGGTGTCCTACGACGAGCAGGAGGAGGCGCAACTCCAGTCCCTGGTCAAGATCTACGAGTCGATGAAGCCCAAGGATGCCGCCCGCATCTTCGAGGAGTTGGAGATGCCCGTGCTGCTCGACGTCGTGGAGAACATGAAGGAGCGCAAGACCGCCACGATCCTGGCCGAGATGAACCCGGCCACGGCCAAGGCGGTGACGCTGGAGCTGGCCCAGCGGCGCGAGCTGCCGCTCCCGCGCGATTAGGTCGCGCGGGCTTGAGAGGGGGCGGCGGCATCCCGGGGTAAGTCGCGAAAGATGAACAGGTTTTACCTGGCATTAAGACCGGAGCGCTAGCTTCACACTCCGGATTAACCTTATGGGGCCGAGCGACGTATGCGGGTCCCCGGACCGCTTTGGGAGAAGGACATGAGCGGCGTTGATATGAACATGCCGATCCTGATCGTCGACGATTACAAGACGATGCTGAGGATCATCCGCAACCTGCTCAAGCAGCTCGGTTTCGACAATGTCGACGAGGCCACCGACGGGGCCATGGCGCTGCAGAAGCTGCGCGACAAGAACTACGGCCTGGTCATCTCCGACTGGAACATGGAGCCCATGAGCGGGCTGCAGCTCCTCAAGGAGGTGCGCGCCGACGGCAAGCTCTCGAAGGTGCCCTTCGTGATGATCACGGCCGAGAGCAAGACCGAGAACGTGGTTGCCGCCAAGCAGGCTGGCGTGACGAACTACATCGTCAAGCCCTTCAACGCCGCCACCCTCAAGACGAAGCTCAGCGCCGTCCTGGGCCACTTCTGACGCTTAGGGAAAAAGGGGTGAGGGCATGACCGCTCTGGCTCAGCAGACCGATCTCCAGACGCGACTGGCCGAGTTCGGCCGGCGTCACCCGGGGATCGACCCGAAGGACCTGGTGGAGGTGGTCGAGGCGATCATGACCTCGGCCGATGGCGATCTCTCCTCGGTCAATCTCAAGCTCTACGCCGAGATCGAGCAGCTCTCGATCTACATCCAGCGTGCCCGTGAGGAGATCGCGTCCTTGCGCCCCGACGAGATCACCGCCGAGCACCTTCCCGTCGCCGGCCAGGAGCTGGAGGCCGTGGTCGGGGCGACCGAGCAGGCCACCAACACCATCATGGAATCGGTCGAGACGATCGAGGGGCTGACCGAGCAGATGCCGCCGGAGGTGTCCGAGAAGGTCGTCGACGCGGTCACCCAGGTCTACGAGGCTTGCGGCTTTCAGGACATCACCGGCCAGCGCATCAAGAAGGTGGTCGCGACCCTGACCCACATCGAGGAGAAGGTGCACGCGCTGCTCGACGCCTTTGGCCAGGAAGGTCAGAGCGAAGCGGTCCGGGAACGGGCCAGGGCCGCCAAGACCAAGGCCGACGACGGGCATCCCGACGCGGGGCTGATGAACGGCCCGCAATCCTCCGACGACGCGATCAGTCAGGAAGACATCGACGCGCTGCTGGCCAGCTTCGACTAGAGCAGATGCCGACCTGAAGGACTCGCGACGCGATCTTTTCAGGCCGGCTGACTCTGCTCTACCACATTAAAGCGAGAGCGATGTCTCGCGACCGGCGGAACCGCGGCGCGGGTCCAGACGGTCGCAAATCGCTCTAGAGGGATAGGCGATCTCAAGGGCGCGCTGCGGTGCGCCCGCCGGTTGCCAAGTATCGCTCTTACCATAGGATGCAGAGCGGTTTCCTGTCATCGGCGGACCCGCGGGCGCGGGGCCGTACGATCACAAGCTGCTCTCGCGGCGCGGAGGCGGCATGGGCCCGGCTCAAGACGAGGAGAAGGCTGGCGGCGGCGATCCCAACATCGTCGCCCTGCTCAGCCTGCAGCTCCTGCTGCTGGCCTTCTTCATCCTGCTCAACGCGATCTCGAGCTACGAGGAGCAGAAGGTCGAGCAGGTGGTCAGCTCGGTGAACCAGGCCTTCGACGGGCGCGTGGCCGCGCCGCAGGACCTGGCCGATGTCGAGGCCGCCGTCGGGCCGCTGCCCGGCAGCGTGCAGCTCAGCCGGCGGGTGCGCAATCTCTTCGCGTCGACCCTGCCGATGGCCCGGATCGAGCAGGATGAACAGCTTGGCGAGCTGCGCATCGAAATCCCGACCGACAGCCTCTTCGCCGCCGACGACCCGCGCCTGCGTGCGGCGCCGGCCGTTCTGTTCAATCGCCTGGCGCGGGCGCTGGGCCCGGAGCGCCCGGAAGACTTGGAGGCCCGCCTGGAGGTCCTGGTGGGCGTGGCCGCGGATGCGCTCTCGGCACTGGGCACCCAACCGCAGGCGCTGCCGGTGCTGCGCGCCGGCGAGCTGGCCCGCAGCCTGGCGGCGCGGGGACTGCCCGCCGAGCGTCTGTCGGTCGGCATCCTGCCCGGCGCCGAAGGATGGGTGCGCCTGGTGCTGCGCCTGGCCGACCGTCCCGGGGTCGAAAGCCAAGAGGCCGAGTCGTGACGAAGAAGCAGGACAGCGCGCCGCTGCTCGGTCGCGGCGGCGGCGCAGGCGGCTCGGGCGGGAAGGGCCAGGGACAGGCCTGGATGGTGACCTTCACCGACCTGGTCGCCCTCATGCTCACCTTCTTCGTGATGCTCTTCGCGATGATGTCGGTGGAGCAGGCGGCCTGGCGCAACCTGACCAACAGTCTGGCGATGCAGCTGGAGCGTCTGGGACCGCCGCTGGTGCCGCAGCCCCCGGAGCTACTGGACATGCCCGACGTGCGCGTGGCGCCAGGCGACAACCTCGACTACATCGCCACGCTGCTCGACGAGCGGGTGGACGGCGTGCCGGCGCTGGCCGATGCGCGGGTGCTGCGCCGCACCGACCACGTCAATCTCTCGCTGCCGAGCGACCTGCTGTTCGCGCCCGGCACGGCGGTGCCGCGGGAAGCGGCGCGGGCGGCGCTGTTCGAACTGGGCGGCCTGCTGCGGCACCTGGACAATGTCGTCGAGGTCGCCGGCCATGCCGACCCCACCTCGGTCGGCCGCAGCGGCTTCCCGTCGAACTGGGAGTTGTCCCTGGCCCGCGCGGCCTCCGTCGCGGCGCTGCTGCGCGTGGCGGGGCTGACCAACGAGGTGGTCGTCCTCGGCTATGGCGAGACGCGCTGGGACACCTTGCCCGAGGAGTTGAGCCGGGCCGAGGCCCTGGCGCTCGCGCGCCGCGTTGAAATCCTGATCCATGAACGGGCCGCCGAGCCATGACGACCGCTCGCCTGCTGGGCTTCCTCCTCCTGATCCTGCCGCTGGCCGCGGCCGCCGCCGAGCCGGTCACCGTGCGCGGCGGCGTGCACGCGGACTTCGGCCGTCTGGTCTTCGATTGGGCCGAACCGGTCGACTATGGCGCGCGCCTTCAGGAGGGCGCGCTGGTGGTGACCTTCGCACGGCCGGCCAGCTTCGACACGGCCTCCGCCGAGCGGCATCTCTTCCGCTATCTGGAGGGAGTCGAGGTCGGCGCCGAGGGACGCCGCGTCACCTTCGATCTGAAAGAGCGCTACGGCCTGAAGAGTTTCACCCTCGGCCCCAAGGTGGTGGTTGATCTGCTGCACGACGCCGGCCAGGTGGAAGCCAAGCCAGCCCCTCAAGCCGCCCCCCAGGCGGCCCCCCAGGCGACCCCCCAGGCGAATCCGCAGCCGGACCCGGCCCGCGAAACGGCCGCCGGCGCGCCCGACGCTTCCGCGCCGGACGCGGCGCCTGCGGCCACCTTCGCGGCGACGCCGGCGGACCGTGACCTGCCGCAGATCCGCGTGCGCGTCGGCGAGCACGCCGCCTTCGAGCGCCTGGTCTTCGACTGGCCGGTGCCGGTCGGCTACCGCCTGCAGCAGGATGTCGAGACCGCCGAGCTGGTCTTCGAGCGTGCCGCGCGACTGGATGTCAGCCGCCTGCAGGCCAATCCGCCGGAAACGCTGCGCCGCTTCGCCGACCGCCGTGCCGCCGGAGAGACCCGGATCGAGCTGCAATATGTGCCCGGGACGCGCCTGCGGGCCTTTGCCGACGGGCCTCGCGTCGTCGTCGACCTGCTGCGGCCGCCCGAGATCGAGCCGAGCCCGCCGGCCGGGCCACCCGCGCTGGCCGAGACGCCCGTTGCGCCGTCGTCGGAGCCGGCGGCCGCGGCAAGCGAGGCGGAGGAGGCGACTGAGGCACCCGCTGAGGCCACCGCGCAAGCCACCGCTGAAGCCACCGGCGCCGGCGCCGGCGACGCCGCGGGCGAGGCCGGCGACGCGGATCGCGGGGCCGGTGACGCGGATCGCGA